AATACCCTCTCAATAGATTCACTCATAGCTACCGACATGTTAGCTATAATTAGTTTTGGTCTGAATCATGACATGTTATTTACTTTTGCAGTGAGTACTAGTAACTGGAGACTCATAACTGGCCTAAGTGCTAGGATCAAGTGACCATTCAATCAATGTTCAGCCATTGACTGAACAAACGGAACACTATGAGGCTCAAGGATCATGGAAGAAAAGAGGGCATACAGAGAATGGAAGTCGGGAGTAGGAGTAGAATTTGGGAAATACCACCTTCTGGGTTTGAAATGGGGTGGCATATTTGAACTTCCCTCAGCTGTGATAAGCCACAGAGAACCTGCACGGTACCTGTCATGGTATGGAGAGGGCTTCATGAGGACCTACAGCACCTTGAGCATCTTAGGTAGCTAATGGTGAGGGAAGGCATGTTCTTTAGTGGTGTAACCACTCGTAAGGTGTCCGTGCTCCTGAAAATCACCTCTCATCTGTGCTCCTGTAAGTAACACTAGTGAACATCAGAGAAAGCAAGGCAGACAGGCAGGCAGAAAAGTAGAAGGACCATACTTAGGAAGAGGAAGGGACTGAGTGAAAGTTGGAGAAGCAAAAGAAAGCATAACAGGGAGACTATAGTCATTATGCATTATGTTAAATGTAACTAAATGTATAAAAGTATAATGAAGCTCATTATGTACAATTAACATATGCTAATAAAATTAAAAAGATAAAGAATGTTGTTTAGTCTATATACTTACTGAACATCAGCCTTATATGAGATCTGCTACAACACAGAGGAATTTAAACTTGGCCATGAAGTTCCTCTTTTCCTCAAAGTACTGTAGATCAAAAGGCTTCATAAGGAAAAAGTTTGGTGAGAAGCAATAACTGAGTAATTACAGAAATAATTTCTTTGATCTTACTTTTATTTATCTGCTTGTCATGATATTTAGCTTTGCCAGTGTTTGCATATATCTTTGTGGCTGGAGGAATGTTGTTTGGGAGAGCAGATGCATTCCTCTTAATAAAGTTGGATCATCTGAGCACCGTTGTTACATAATGCATTAAACGTTCCTGTGCTATTCATGTCAAATTTTATCAGGGGCATAAAGATTTATTGTTTAGGAAAGAAATGGAAAAGACACAGATGAATTCTATGTAAATATCATTTTGAAATAATCATCTGAATCATTTTCATTAGCCATATTACCAAGAAAAGGCAAAATATAGGGCCAAAAAAAGAAAAGAAAGAAAATCCTTATCACGTAGGGGATTCATGAGGACGTCTGTGTCTTTGGAGGGTAAAGACAATTTAACATCAGTCTTTGTGTGATGTGCTTTCTCCCCCTTTTTAGAGGAAAAAAGAAGGCAGCATTCCGCTCTGTTTGGGTTGTATTAATATTCTAGAGTTGAAGCCAACTGATTTTTTCACCTGAGGATTTGACATTAGAATGTTCTCAGCTTCCTAAGGCAGGATTATTGCAGCGATGTTGTCATTCTTTGTCTTTATTTAAGATCTGGACTCATTTATATATTAGACCTAGGCACGTTTAGTCAGTAGATACATTCATAGCTCCAGTTAAGATCTGTGTTTGTTAAGCCTATCAGTGTGTTAACACACAGGCAGTCTAGTATTAGCACCACACAGACGAACATTAAAGCATTTATGTTACTGTGAGTCTGTGTGCTGGTTTGAAGTTAAGACTCATAAAGCCTCATTTGGTATTTACACAATATAAGATTCTTGTTCACCCTGATCCAGATGGCTGACTAGAAACACCAGGATGTTTTGCCAAATTATAAAAACCAGGCATTTTCTGGTTCAATTGTCACTGGTAACCATGGGTGGTTTGTATGTGAAAATTTTTCCATGAATATTTCAGAATCTAATATATATTCTTTGTAGAATGTGTCATTAACTTCCTGAAACAGCTAATCAGCTAAAGCAAGTAATTATTTGTGTAAACATTTTTTTAAAAAAAAGAAGATATGGAGTTAATTTATGGAATAGAAATGTCTAGATTACTATATATACATTTAACCACTTAACAGAAGTAAAATCTGTCAGACTACTGTATCCGTAGATTTGATTTATAATTCTTGTCTGACCTCAGCTGTCAAAAAACCAGCATGACTATCTGGTTTCAAGTGTGTCTAATCCATTAAAGCCCTTTCACGGCATCAGACAGCTTCCTTTCTTCTGTGCCACCCATTGTACACACCAGAGTCACCTCTAGATGACACGGCCATGCCTGTGAGGTCTTCTTCTTCCTTCAGCTTAAGTTGCGTTCAAATATTTTCTGTACAGTACAGAGCACTAACACGGTCAGTGTCTGGAAAGACTTTCAGTCTTCACATCCACAAGCAGCCTAGGAAGCTCCATCTCTGTCTCTTGTTTTTTGTTTCTTTGTTGCCAGATATACTTTTGAAGGTATGTTGGAAAATAGAAGCAAAGGTATCAAGGTCTACTTTTAAAACTGTCTTTTGGTGGTGACAAACAAACAAGTCAACAAGCAAACCTAGTGAAAGGGAAGCCATCATTCTCCTATAGACTTATTTAAATGAAAGTACTATTAACCAAGTTTTAAAATTCTCCTTCTTTCTGGGTTGCTTTCCACTGTAAAGTGTTGGCTTCATTGAACATCGATAAATTTGTCACCCACGGGAGTCAGTGTTTCAAAAACACAAACAACAACAAATGGGTGAAGGCTAACATACGTGAAGATAATCTTTTGAAAGTAATGCATCTTTTTTTTTAAATCTTGCCTAAGTATACTATTAAAGAACATTTACTTTTCTGGGTAACATATTGGCATAATTTTCAGTCTAGTCGAGAGAATGATCAGAGAGGGTGCTGAGGGGCACAGCCCGGGTCTAGGGGGGAGGCCTAAGAAGCTTCAGAAACCCATGAGTTCATTGATATGTGCATTACTGGGATATCACATCACATCTGGCAAACAGCTGTGTTTTAAAATAGATTTTAATGAGACCAATATCCCGTGTGACAGCAGTAATGCTGATAAATAAATAGCTGTGAGCCCACACTATAGTCATTAAACCGGTGAAGTAAGTATACTTAAGCATCCCTCCAATTTTAAAATGACATAGATATTAAATAAATTATTAGAAAAAAATTAATAGCAAGCATCCAGCAATGTTAACTATGTACCCGATCCTGCTTTCAGGGCACCATCACAATAACTCGTTGTAGTTATGCCAAAGCCCTCTGGGTAGGTATAACTTCTATGTCAATTTTAAGATGAAGGAAAAAGGTACTAGAGCCTCAGCTAGTACAAGATAGAGGGGTAGGTTCCTCAGCCTGTTCTCTCACCTTTGCCTCTTCACAAATGCAGTTGCCTAATGAGTTGCTGCTGGTCAGTAGCAATAATGGGCCTGGACTTCTTCTTTATTTTACTTTGAAAAAAAACTTTTGTTAAATTGTTTTTTGTTGACTTATTATTTCCTTGTAAATTTCACATAATGCACACCAAACCCATTCATCTCCCGCTCCCCTTCTACAGACCCTTCACCCTTACAACCTCTCCTGCAACAGAGGGGAAAAGAATCTTGTAGTGGAAGCTGTAGGGTGTCACAGTGTGCCCCCACAGTGTACCCTTTTGTCCACACTTCTTTGCAAGCAAATGGTCCTTGCAATGACTTATTTGTCTGGTATGAGCAAGGCCTCTGACTTCTGTCAATACTGGGACCTCACTGGGACCCTTCTCTGATATCCTGTTTCTGCCCTGTATCATGGATATCTTGTAGTTTTGCATCTGTAGGACTGGTCCCTTTATGCACTCCAGCAGTTCATTGATGGTGTAGATGTTGGGCTGGGCTTACTTACAGCCCTGGATCTGGGCTTTTTCTGCCAGCTCTCCTGCTCTCAAGCCTTTGGTGTCTAGGCTGGCTCACCAGCACTCCATTTAACCAGGGCAGGTTCTATTATGCTGCCCAGGAGAGTTGCAGTCCCTACTTTCTCAAGTGTTTAGAGAAAATGAGGGACATAGCCAGTTCTCCCAGTCTGATAACCCAGGGCCAGCTCTCCCACTTGCCATAGCTGGCAAAGGATTAAGGGAGGGGAAGAGAGCATCGCTCCCTTGTCTATGCCAGAGGCAGGGCCAGCCCTCCCACATTCAAGCCCTTGAGGCCAGCTCACTTGCCAGCTATAAGTAGCAAGGAAAAGTGCAGGGCCTGCTCTCCCAAGCACTGCATCAGGGAAGGGCAGGCCCAATTCTCCTGCTTTCATGACCCCAGGGTCAGACCTCCCTCCTGCTACAGATGATAAAGAACAAGAGTAAATAGGTTATCTCTTCCTTATCCATGCCACCTCATAGGAGATGATTGATAGGGCCAGCTCACCAACACTCATATCCTCAGGGCCTATCCTTGGGGCCAGCTCACCCCCAACTCCTGCAATGTGCTCTCCCGAGGATTGCAGCTGGTAAATGGCAGGGTTAGCTCTCCTGCTCTCACTTCCCCACAGCCAGCTCCCTGAGATGCCCAGATGAGGGGTAGGGCCAGTTCTGCACAGCCCTCAGACATTAACATGTTCCTGGGTGGCAGCTGACTAAGGGCATCCACCTGACCTTTGGTGCTAACAGACCCCTGCTGCTGTAGGGCCATGGTCCCAGACATGGCCCCTGGTGGTGGCACAGGCCAGGACCACACCATAGTCCCTGGTTACATTACTCACCTCAGGCCTGACTCAATTCCCAAACCCTGACTCTCCAGTTCTGCTTCTCTTCATTGTATCCACATCCTTTCCTCTCTCTTTCATTTCTCCACCACTTACTTGCTCCTCTTAGTGACATCTGGGGTCTGAGTGTCTGGGGTCTTCTCAGGAGTGAGTGGATGCCAGAGTGCTATGTCTCACTCATGCATTATGGAGCCAGGCAGGTGCCATCTTGGGATTGGTCTGCTCCACCTCCAGGTTGGACTGGTGCTCATCTCAGGGTAGTCCAGGTCCTGGCGCCAGTCTGGAGATGGTCTCGGGCTTGCTTTTTTCAGGGAATGTTAGATTATTAACATTCAGATGTTCATACTTCAGAGCACTGAGCGTAGACATAGGCTCACTCCTCTCTGCCACCTACTGACCACACATATGACACAGCAGCCACACCTGCAACACCTCTAGGGGCAGGGATAAATTATTCTTGGTACTTCAGACCTACACACCCTTTCTGTCACGTTTTTTTTATTTGTTGTGCAACCTGTAGAGTATAACTTTGGCCATCTGCGTCATCAGAGGTTTGGCATTTTCCATTCAGAGCTGGTAGATGCAGAGAGCATGTAACTGAAGACAATGTCTGCCCTCCCCAGAATTGGTCAGTAGTCAATAGGTCAATGGGGAGAGCTCCTCAATCTATGTACCATTGGGCCTAGTCTTGTGCAGGCCTATGACAGACAGCTACAGTTACTGTGAAGTTGTGATTACATTTGCTTACAGAGTCTAGAAGGTAGCATTTCACAGTCCTCTCCCTGTATCCCAGTCAGACATTCTTTCTGCTTCCTTTTACTTTGCGTTTACTTAGCCTGAGAGGAGGTGGTATCCATGTCTAGTTTAGGCTTGGACAATCAACTATGACTTATTCTCAGCACCTTGAGTCCAGGTGTCTCCTATTTAATACCTTAGTGATGGTCTTTTCCTGTAAGAACTGTTGTAATACAGCTACTGTATTCTGTATTCACTGCCATCCATTTTAAATAGAAACTTCTTTGATTAAGGCTGAGAGTAGCATTTGTGTGGGGGTATAAACATAGATATTTTGAGAGAAGCATGACAACATGACACGTTAAATAAAGGACATTCGTGAATTAACCTGCTGGGCCTAACAGGTCCTTAGCCATCAAGTTTTTAACATGTTTATATAATCATGTGTGATTCTCCTCCTGTGGAATGTGTCTTGTATGCCAGCTGAAAGCAGTCGGTTACTCTCATAACAGTTCCGGCACTATTGAGCCAGTGGTCATGTATTTGTCTAGCAATTTGGTATTCTAGTTTGTAGGGTTCACAGGTAGTAACATTATTTTAATTTTTATTATTAATTTTTATTTTGTCACTTCACGTCCCAAACAAAGGCTCCTCCCTCCTTTCCTCCTGGTTCTGCCTGCCCTCTATCTTCTTCCCCCATGCCTCCCTCCCATTCTTTTCAGGAAAGGCCTCCCTCCCCTCGTGTCAACACTCCCCAGCACATCAAATCACCTCAGGACCGAGTACATCCTCATTCTCTGAGGCCAGAAAAGGCAGCCAGCTAGGAGGAAGTGACTCAAAAGCAGGCAACAAAATTCATATCAGAGACAGCCCCTGCTCCACTTGCTAGGCCACCAAAATGAGGAAGAAGAGTAGTAACATTCTTGATGCTGTCCCTGTCCTACTCTGCAGCAGCACAAATAACACCTTCCAGCATCATAAAACCTAGCCAGCAAGAGGGAAGATTCCAGCTCCGCCACAGCTTCTCTTTCTGTATTTTTAGATCAAGGCACATGACATCTTCAGCAATGTGTTCTCAGTAATTGGTTATTGTGGGCAACCAAGAGAAATGTCAAGATTTTGAATTGTTTCTGAGCCTCTGAGTCCCTCCAGTCCAACAGCTCATAAGAAGGTACCCACACTTGGCATTGGGAATTTTGTTTGATGATTGTCTTAGTTATGGTTATTATTGCTGTGATGAAACATCGTAGCCGAAGCAACTTGGGAGGAAAGGGTTTATTTTGTTTATACTTGTACATTGTAGTTCATCATGGAAGGAAGTCAGGACAGGAACTCAAAAGGGAAAGGAACCTGGAAGCAGGCAGGAACTGATATAGAGGAAATGGATGGGTACTCTTTAATGGCTTGCTCAGCCTGCTTTATTACTAGAACCCAGGACTACCAGCCCAGGGATAGCACCACATTCAATGGCTGGGCCCTCTCCCATCAATTACTAATTAAGAAAACACCTCATAGCAATATATTATGGAGACATTTTCTCAACTGAGGCTCCCTCCTTTCAGATAAATCTAAAGTGTGTCAAGACAAAGAAATTAGCCAGCACAATAACCCATGGCTTCTATTATCACATTAGGTGCCCTGCAAGATATTTCTCTTCTACGTCTCCTCTGTTTTTTCAACGCTGAGCTCTCCTTTAAAATAAAGATTTATTTATTCATTTCTTTCTTTCTTTTGTTCCTTTTCGAAAGAATGTCTCTCTGTGTAGTCCTAACTGTCCTGGAATGGAGACTCACGGGGAACTGGCTGCCTCTCCAGTGCTAGGATTAAAGGCATGCACCACCTAATCCAGCTAGATTTATTTTAATTTTATTTTGTGTTTGAGTGTTTTTCCTGCATACGTGGCTGCTCACTATGTGTGAGCAGGACCCATAGATACAGAAAAGGACATCAGAACCTCTGTAACTGGAGTTAGAGACAGTTGTTACCTCTCCTGTGCATGCCTGAGTAACAATCAACTGTTTTTTAACTGCAGAGCCATCTTTCCAGTCTCCGACTCTATGCTGTCAATTGCTACATTTTACTCAACTGTGTTAGCTCTGTGATTTTTTTTTTTTTTTTTGGAACACATAGAGAGTTGAAGCAGAGGACAGGTGTACAGAGACTACCCTTGCGCATAGGAATTTTACTGTTTGATTGGGATGCTGCTTTCTCTTTAGTTTTAGATATTGGGCCAGTCCAGTTCACAGGAGAATGACTGCTCTGTAGGAACATTCTGCAAACATTAGAGGTCTCTCTAATAGCCCTGTAAGTTTGACTCTCATATCTCTTAGGATTCTTGGACTGGCCTGACTCTCAAAATGTATATTGAATGAGTCCAGGTGTTTCCTATTTAATACCTTAGTGATGGTTTTTTCCTGTAAGAACTGTTGTAATTAGTAAGAACCAAGTTATAGTAAAAAGCTTTCTCCCTTCACCAAGAAGAAACAAGTTCTTAACAAATGGGGTTATTGTAATAGCAGGGAAATAATTCTCCTACTACATACCAGAAACTTAATAAATGAAAAATAATGCACTAAGAATGTTTACATTTTTAGAAAATTGTTGGCCAATGAAATCCCAATAGAACCTCCCTACCCAGAAGAAGTACAGGCTGTTGCCTTTGCTTTTGGCTACGGTCTCTCTCTCTCTCTCTCTCTCTCTCTTATTTTTTTGCTTGCTTTGTTTTCTTTTACTTATATATTTATTCACTTTGCATCACAAGCATAGCCTCCTCCATTCTCTACTCCAATTTCCACCCTTCCTCTCTCTTTCTCCTGTTCCTGCACCCCTACTCCTCAGATAATGGAAGCCCCCTTCCATCAACACACCACAGCACATCAAGTCTCATCAGGACTGAGCCCATCTTCTTCCCCTGTAGGCCTGGCAAGGCAGTCCTGCCAGGGGAAAGCAACAGAGTCCATGTTAGAGACAGCCCCTCTTCCCTTTTTAGGGGACCCATATGAAGACCACACTGTCCACCATGTACATATGTGTAGGGGCCTTAGTTCAAATCCATGCATGGTCATTGGTTGCTTCATAAGTCTCCACAATCCCCTCTGGGTCCTATTGGTCTTCTTGCAGAGCTTCTGTCCCCTTTGAGTCCTTCTATTCTCCCCTGCTCCCACTCTTCCACAGGCTCTCTGCATTCTTCCCAGTGTTTGGCTGTGAATCTCAGCATCTGTCTCAATTCACTGCTAAGTGGAACCACTCAGAGGACAGCTATAATAGGCTCCTGTCTGCAAGCATAATAAAGTATCGTGAATAGTGTCAGGGGTTGGCTTTCTCCCATGAGATGGGTCTCATTGGGTGGACATTCCCTCAATCTCTGCTCTATCTTTGCTCATGTGAGTCTTGTAGGCAGGGTAAATTTTAGGTTAAAGTTTTTGTGGGTTTAGCTACTGTCTCAGTAGGGGTTTATTATTACTGTGCTAAAAACAAGACCAAAGCAGCCTGGGGAGTTGAGGTTTCATTTGGCTTACATATCCTGAATCACAGTTCATTGAGAGAAACCAATGCAGAAGCTTAAACAGTGCTGGCACCTGGAGGCAAGAGCTGGCGCAGCAGCCATGGAAGGATGCTTCTTGCTGGCTTGCTCAGGCCAGGACCGCCTGCTCAGGGATACTTTCACCCACAAAAGGATGGGTGCTTCCCCATCAATCACTAAATAGGAAAATGCCCTTAAGGATTATCTGCTTACAGCCTAATCCTGAGGTAATTTTTTAACTGAAGTTTCCTCCTCTCAGATCACTATAGCTTGTGTCAAGTTGACATAAAAATTCCTAGCATAAGTTTCCTTCAGGAACTTAGTGGTTAGGCCCTGAAGATACCACATACTTAAGACACAGAACATGGAGAAATCAAGATGGTTCTCATATGGAAGCTTTATTCTTACTGTCTACCTTTCATAGTGATGAAAAATGGTATTCAGTCTGTTAGATAAGAGGAATAATAATCAATCGTACCCAGCTATGAATCATGTGTGCCACCATAATCACTGCCTTGGCATGACATAGCCACAGGTGCAAGAGTGACACAATCAGCAGGAGTAACCAACCACTTTCTGATTGGATTTAAGACATACTCTACAAGATGAAACTCATACCTAGAAACAATCAGACCAAGAACCTATGGCTAGACAGGAGAGAGCTTACTACTATTATGCTGATAAATGGACAGAAACCAACTCCTAATGTTTCATTATACTCATAGTTAGTGTATCTGTCTTACATTTTATATCAAAGGGTTTTATTTGTAGTAGATGGTGATTAACACAGATCCACAGCTGTCTGAGATGCAGGAAATAAGAGACTGCATCTCAGCCATCTCAGATGGACCTCCCCTTCCATCTGACCCTAGCCTATCAAATCTCATCAGGGTTGGCTGCATTGTCTTCCTGTGGGGTCTGGTAAGGCTGATCCCCCCCTCAGGGGGAGGTGATCAAAGAGTCAGCCACTGAGTTCATGTCAGAGACAGTTCCTGTTCCCCTTCCTAAAGAACCCATTTGGACACTGAGCTGCCATGGGCTACACCTGTGCAGTGTTTCTAGGCCATCCTAGCATGGTAAATTCTAAATGGAATATATGCACTGCACCTCCTCTTCTCAAGGCTCAGGAATTACTGCAGAAGAAGGCAAAGAGAGTAAGAGCTAGGGATGGCGGATGCTATGTGGAA